AAGCAGCGGTTGCGGTGAGCCAAGATCATGCCAGTGCACTCCAGCCTGGGCGACAGAGCAAGACTTTGTTAAAAAAGAAAAAAAGCCCACCCTCCCCTAAAAATAATCAATTATTAAAGATTAGAAAATAGTGAAATACTTGTATTTTAAAATAACCACTATCATCATACATTTTCCATTTAGCCTTCCTTTGCCTTGTGTTTGCAGTCATCGTGTGAGGGGCTGCCTATGTTCAGCCCAGGCAACCCACAGCGAGAGAGGGCATAGCGGGGAGATGGCCCCTGGTGAGCAGTGAGGCTCTTCAAACCAGCTGCCAAGGGAGTTGCTACCAGGGTAATACATGAGGCTAATGATTACGTGGTATTTTGTGTTCTTACTTGTCTCGTCCCCAGGTTGTGTAGCTCACAGACTTTTTTAACATTTCTCTAGGGGTCATTTGAAGTTCATAATGCCATCAAATACCAATAAAGGGTCTTCCCATTATGTATCGGCTTTGGTTTATGTGCTGAGGAGTGGCCAAGCACTGAAAGAATGTGACCGGTTGTCCCAAGTGTTGTCCTCCAACTCAAAATGCACAACCAGTTCAAAAGCATTTGGGCTTTTATGTGCCTTTTACATAAAGACTATGACACAGCTAAGCTATTCATGTACTAATACTTGCCCTGACCTATGTGACCACGGACACCACCCTATAATGTGACTAGTGTGTGGAACTCTGCAGGCTCAGGTCATTCCACACATACATGCAGATGTGGGAACTCCCTTGTACAGTGACTCATGATCCCATGGCCGAGTGCTGAGGACAGGTCGTAGTTCAGAGCGTCAGCACTGGGGCCGTATGCTTGGGTTCCCATCTTGGGGCTCATAAGCTTGGGCACATTCATCTCTTTTTCTGCCCAGTGAAAGGTGACAGTAAATCAATCATGCCATATGTCTGTGGTGATGGCTGAATGATTCGATGTAGGTAAAGTGTATGGTGTATGTGCTCATGAGGCTTAACTATTATCAGTGATATGTCTTGCTTTAGATTTCACAGCTTAAATAAGGCTCAGAGGCTCATTCAAACCCAGGATTCTGAACTCCCAAGCCATTGGTTCTGTGACATACACCTGCTTGGCCTAAAACCAACCACTTTATCATAATTCAGACCCAGTTTTGAAATAATTAGATAAAGTTGTCAAAAGTGCTGTGTCTGCCTGAGCGCACACTCTGTCCTCCACACAAAGGACACCATTGTCTGCCACAATGGCCCAGTGGCCTGGCTGGCACAGACGGTGGCAGAGCAAAGGGCAAGAGATCCCTAATCCCATCACCATGGCAATAGGGCATCATAAACTTTCCAGGGTGAAGGCACAATCCACCTTGTGAGGTCCAACTGCTGCCATGCGGACAGCTGTGCTTTTACATGCACAGGAAGGTCACTGAAGATAAGTGTTTTACATCCATGGTCAACAGATGAGATGACCATGAAATGAACACCAGTGTACTGGGTGGAGCAGCTTATCTATTCGGTCTTCTGCACTAAAACCTGTGAAACGATATCATCTTGCCTTATTTACTAACACATACAAGTGCCTCTAAACTTAGACAGTTTCCAAGTCATGCAACTGATGAGCACTGAGCTCCTGCATAGACTGGGTCTGGATGACGGCTCGGGAGAACCAGGGCACACAGTCCATCCAAACAGCATTAACAAGTCAGCAGGTTTCCAAAGCTCTCTACGTGCAAACTCACACAATTATCCCTTTAATTTTTATCTTCATGTATACGTACACGATCTACTTGTTTCTGAGTATAAATAAAAGTGTACGTTCTTAGTTAACAGTCTCTATCAATTCATTCTATTTATCTTTCTGTGTTGAAATACTGAATTTCATTGGGTAACAAAAAAAAGTCTGACTAAGATTACTCTGGAATGGTGGGTAGGTTGGGTGGTTGACTATAATTTCCAATTCTGTGATTTTGGATAACTCCCAAAGCATAAAAATAAATGTGTGTTTTATTTCACATGCCGACAATACACACTTATTACTTTTTAAAATTAATATGTGAATGGACATGACTTACTACAAATTTATTAAACTAAATACACATTTCACAACAAAAGAAGAGAGGAAGGAAAAACATGTTAAAAACAAAGATAGGTACATTTTATTGTGTGAAAAGCTTCAAACCCATCCGTACTACTGTGGCTTTGCTCCCAACTTTTTGAAAGTAATGATTTTGTATGTTCTTAATTAGATTAAAAACTACATTAAAAATAGACTTTGCCATATTCTCCTCAAGGGAATAACTTAATTTGGGTCGGGGGCATTGAAGGGTGTAGGATGTAAAAGGAAATGATACATTATTTTTTAAATGAAGAAAAAGTTCAAAGGCACCCTGCTTGATGCAAGAATCAAATATATAAAGTGAGAAATAAAACATAACCACAAAGCGTATTTATAACTCCATACGGAAAATACAGAGGATAACTTTTTAAATAACGTATTTGAAAGTATTAACTAGTAATCTGAAAAGACAGCATTCGGCCTATTTGACAGGCCAGTATGAAAACATACCTTGAAAGCAGGAAAACCGGTTCCCCATAAGAAAAATCAAAATCAGGAAAAACGAAAGCACAAAAGTTCAATCTGCTCTGACCTTTGAAAAACTCAGCACAGACAGTGGCACTTAGGACCAAGGGCAAGAGATCCCTACTCCCACCACCATGGTGATAGGGCATCATAAACTTTCCAGCGTGAAGGCACAATCCACCTTGTGAGGTCCAACTGCTGCCATGCAGACAGCTGCGCTGTTACATGTACAGGAAGGTCACTGAAGGCTCAGTGTTTTATTTCAGAAACTGAATCCCAAACCCACACATTATTATTCTGTGCTTCTTAAAAGTTATGAGATGGGGAAATAGGATACCCCCAAATATAGCCAATAGTGAGAATTTCAAATGGAAGAGGGGCACAACTGATATTCTGAAAACAGAGATTCCATTCTGTTTTTTCTTTTTCAGCTTTTATGTTAGATTCAGGGTGTACATGTGCAGGTTAGTTACCTGGCTATATTGTGTGCTGCTGAGGTTTGGGGTATGAATGATCTCAACACCCAGGTACTGAACACAGTACTCAGCGGTTTTTCAACCTTTTCCCTCCTCCCTCCCACTCCTGGCGGTTCTAATGTCGATTGTCACCATCTTTATGTCCATGGGTACTCAGAGTTTAGCTTCTACCTTTAAGAACATGAGGCATTTGTTTTCTGTTACTACACTAGTTCAACTAATGGCTTCTACCTCTAGCCATTTTCCCACAAAGAACATGATTTCATTCTTTTGTGGCTGCATGGTATTCCATGGTCTATATGTACCACATCTTTATCCAGTCCACTGCTGAGGGGCACCTAGGTTGATCCCATGTCTTTGCTATTGTGACTCGTGTTGCAATAAACATACGAGTGCATGTGTCTTTTTGGTGGAATGATTTGTTTTCTTTTGGATACATATACAGTAATGGGATTGCCAGGCTGAATGTTAGTTCTGTTTTATGTTCTTTGAGAAATCTCCAAACTGCTTTCCACAGTGGCTGAACTAACTTACATTCCCACCAACAGTGTATAAGCATTTCCTTTTCTCCTTATCCTTGCCAGTATCTGCTACTTTAACTTTTTAAAAACAGCCATTCTGACTGGTGTGAGATAATATCTCATTGTGGTTTTGATTTGCATTTCTCTCGTGATGAGTAGTGATGAGCATTTTTTCATGTTTGTTGGCTGCGTGTATGTCTTCTTTTGAGAAGTGTTTATTTGCCCCTTTATAAATGGGGTTGTTTTTTGCTGTTGACTTAAGTTCCTTATAGAATCTGAATATTAGACCTTTGTTGGGTGCATAGTTTGTGAATAATTCCCCCCATTCTGTAGATTCTGTTTACTCTGTTGATGGTTTCTTTTCCTGTGTGGCAGCTTTTAGTTGAACTGGGTCCCACTTGTCAACTTTTGTTGCAATTTCTTTTAAAGACTTAGTCATAAATTATTTCCCGTAGCCCATGTCCAGAATGGTACTTCTGAAGTTTTTCTTCCAGGATTATTGTAGTTTTTGAGGTCTTAAATTTTTAATCTAACCTGAGTTAATTTTTGTATATGGTGAAAAATAGGTGTCCAGTTTTTTTCTTTTTTCTTATTTTTTGAGAGAGTCTTGCTGTGTCGCCAGGCTGAAGCGCAGTGGCCATTTCAGCTCACAGCAACCTCCGCTTCCTGGGTTCAAGTGATTCTCCTGCCTCAGCTTCCTGAGTAGCTGGGATTACAGGCATGTGCTACCACG